AGCTGTGCTCTACACATGAAAATGAGTACTAGATATCAAAATATTCTTTTCACATATGGTTTATTCTTGAATAAAATCATATATTAAAGATATAAAACTGTTAACCCAAAAGTCTGGCAAATGATCATGATGAGAGTTGGAGGAACTGTATGGGTTTTAAAAGTATAAAATCACTGCTCATTGAGGCTTCAAACCAAGAGAGTAAAGTAACATTTCACTTATGCATTAAATATGCTGCTGTGGATACAAATCAGAGAACCTCTGCTTAGGTCCCTATAGCTCTCTGGGGATTCGTCTATTCAACTAGCAACTTACCAAAGTTAAATACTTCCTTTCAGAAGAATAACTCCAAAAATCATTAGAAACAAATTAATTTCATTAGACTTCTAGTGAGTATTCCTCAATCCTTCCAGTACAGTTTAGTACATCAAGAAGTCAAATATCCAGCAAATGCCCTATGTCCTCACATCTACCAAGACTCCATGACAGAAGTAGAGGGTCCTAAACCTAGTGCTTCCATTCCCTAAGTATGTGACCTGAGCAAATCATATCCTTTCTCTGGGTCCTGGCTTATCTGCAAAAAAGGTTTGGGTACCAATGGTTTCTAAGCTCCCATACTCTGTTACTCTGTTTGACACAGGTTAACTATATTCTCAATTTGTGACCCCACTATTACGATATTAGAAATAGACAAGTTCACAATTTTTAACATTTGTATTATTTTTAATGTAATACTTTCTGTTTTAACTACTCCTATATCATGAGACATTTGTGAATATTAGAATCTACAAAAAATTTAGGTAAATATCACTAATATGGTTCTTCAGGAAGATGTCTTGGTACACATGCCTAAATGGAGAGTAAAAAACCTACCACCAGAGAAAGCAGAAATAAAGGAGAAAGCACTCTATCAGCATGAAGAAAGCATCATTTTGATATAACACAACAATCACCAGCTCACCATGAAGGATCTGTAATCAACAGGATCTGTAACAAGGATCTGTAATCAATGCTCATCCTTCTTTTAACACAACCGCCTGACAACACAAAATATAAAGAAATATCTACAAATAAATATGCTAAACATGCTTTAAAAACAAACTGTAATAGCACCATTCTTTGTTTTAAGTTCAAGAGTTAATTTCTGAGTGAAAAAAATGGATAGCCAAGCTGCTTACAAAATAAGACCTTTAGGGGCCGGCCCGGTGGCGCACTGCTACAGTGCGCCGCTTGAGAGGGCGGCGGCACCCCCGCCGAGG